CTTTGCCGCCAAGAGGCAGTCGCTCGGTCGGTATAGTTCGCTTGCGCACTATAGGCCACGGAGTTCAGCTTTTTAGTTTGCAGCACATGTTCAAAGGACATAGATTCCAGTTATATAAACTTAGGGAGCTACATGTAACATTTCGAAGATCACAGTGGCCGCTCAGTCTAAGGCATGAACCGTCTTCGCCAGCTCGAACACTGTGACCGTGGGTTCGAATCCAACTCGAGGCATGGATAACTGTGCAGTTAGCAGCCTTGCGACGGGCTGAGGCCCCGTCTAAGGAATCCTACCGACTATGTGCAGATTAAGAAACTGCAAAAGCGGACAAGAGCCACATGGGCTGTAGGGCCTTGGTGGGGGGGGGGGGATGTAACAGTTCAGCCAGTAATCAACTGACTTTGGAGTGGGATTGCTGGACAAATTATCTGACGCAAATCGTCAGTTTCTCCCAAGGAAGGTGATCTCTGTATGAAGTCAAAGTCACGAATGTGTGAAGTGCCTGTCTGACGAGACGCGCCGACCTGTACCTGAACGCCGCGGTAGCACCTCCACCCGGCCCGGGCAAACAACTTCTCTGATGAAGCAAACCTGCAGACGGAACTGGCTCACAAATCCACAGTGTAGTCTGAACCAGGGTAAGACCAAAGCAGGGAGACATCAAGCACAAACCCCTCTCCCGCCCGTTTTGAGGCTTCAGACCGGTCAAGACAACCTAAGTCTGAAAGCTCCGGGCGTCTACAGATCTATCCCATGTGAATGTGGAGCCGTCAACACCGTCTGCACTGACAAAACGAGCCACATGCATGAAGAACGCATCAGAGAAGCACTGAGCTCTATCATCCGGAACTCCCGAGAGAGAACGGCAATAGCCAAGCTCTCCCGCCTCATGCATGAGAACCTCAACAGTTCAGCCCTACGCTCAAGCAGCAGCGCAGTCGTCACAACCTTACCCTCGATCCACGGACCCGCCCTGCCACCGCCCACACCGCTAGCACACAGCACTGCCCTGCTTGGGAACTCTGTGGCCGTTTGCGACATTTCCCTGCGCACCAGCCCTCACCCTTCTCCTCGTGGGTCTCTTTGCACTCACCCACCACATTCGCTTCGTCCTTGAAGATGGAGCCAGAATGCACCTCCGAAGCGCCGGCAACACTCACCACATCCATACCGTGCAAAGAATAAGCATCATGAATGAACATTCCGACCCTGTCAAACCCAAGTGAAGCGACTAACGCCTTCCTTTAGAGCAGAAATCGGTTTCTTCTTTCTGTGGTATCTTTTGCGTTTCCTCCATCCGTACCTCCTCCTCCTCCTTTTCCTTCCTAATCTTAATTTTTTCGCCAGTTTTACTCCGTCCTTTCGCTTGTCTCCTCCTATTCTTCCTCTACTACGTTCTTATCCTTCTGCTTATGTTTCGTTCTCCTGCTTTCTCCAATCTGCGGTACACTCTTCTTGCAGAAACGAGCGCGACTGCCGACGCGATGTGACAGTCACGCCAAGTCACGTGCTTGCCACGGGCGCTGCCAAACATTCTCCCTTGCGATTCTTTGCACCGTCTATGCTTCAGTCGCTGCGGCCTTGCGTCTGGAGCTGAACTCATGATCTGCCAACAGCCGATAGGCCTAATCTGTATGGCAAGGAGTACAAATCATGAAGCTCCTCATAATGCAATTTTCTCCACCCTCTTGTTACTCCCAAATGTACCCCTGAGCACCCTCTTCTCAAACACCTCAGTCCATGCTCCACTACCACTTGTTGCAGCTCGTTCTCAGAATCAGAAACAAAATTACATAGCGAGAAATTTCGTGGCTTATTTAATCTTTTAGTTTCTTGTTATACGAGTGATTCTAAATTACTGTTCGGGTTTCCGTGGTCTATAATAAAATTGCTTACAGAATACGGAAACGTAACTCATAAAGTTTTACTGCCTGTAGAATCAACACTGCAGAATGCTAAACAAATTCAACATGCAAGCCTTTCGTGGCACGTAAGCACTTTCATTTTGTTGTTTTCGGCTTGAAAATTATGGGAGCACGGATATCCCGACAATAATTTAGAATCACTCTGTATTTAATGAGCCTTTCTAAACCGCAAGCGTCTTCTTAAGTAGCGTCGAACTGGGAGGATGGCGGAAGTACGCAGTCGTACCGACTTTCAGAAACTATTTTTTGGTCTAAATTCTGAGCAACAGACTGCAGAGGCTGGAGAAAAACAACAACAAAAAGTATAGGTCACGATACTGGGTGTCCGGGCCGCGACCCGAAGCCGAGACCCCGGCTGATCATTCCTCGCGCCTTCGCCAGTACGATGGACCGGCTGTGCAGTAGACTGGGGAAACAGTGAACTTACAACAGAGTTTCAAATGGAAAGCCCTCAGGAGCAGGCGGAACCCAGCGGCCGCGCAGGCATGAACTGTCTTCTCCCGCTCGAACACTGGGGTCGTGAGATCGAATCCCACCCGAGGCATGGACGTTTGTGTTGTTGTGTGTGTAGGTAGCGGCCTTGCTACGGGCTGATCCCCATTCCAAGGAATCCTACCGACTGTGTATAGCAGGCATGTCCAACTTCAAAAAGGTTGTGATCGACTTTCTAGTATCAAAACTACCAGTGATCTACCACCCCCTCCTATCGTACCTCGCTTTAAGCAAAAATATTGGTAAAAATAACACGAAACATGGCGTTTGTTGTAAAAGCAACACACATTGAAAGTACGGACTACTTTAACACGTGTTTTCCCTTCAAAATCTGAATATAATCATATTATATTTGAAGTGAATTTACATGCTTTTCACGTATAATTTCCTTACTGGCCTATGAGATCGACCAAAAATCGTACCGCCATCGCCGCGTTGGACATGCCTGGTGTATAGGACTAAGAAACTGAAAAAGCGGCCGTAGAGCCCTCAGGAATGCTCCGAATAATGTTAAGAGGTTCGGCGTAGCGTCTGGGAAGATGAAATGATAAAATTACGTATGTGCCAAACGGTCGGCATGAAGGAGTATAGGGGCCAGGCCTCTTTCGATGGTACGACGCTGACACAATTCGATTCGTCCGTTACTGAGATCGACTTGTATCGAACTGGGTCATTCACCTTGATTCTGCTGTTTGTAAACACCTACAGTGATTCGTTCTCACGCTGCAATGATTCACAAATGGGGAACAGTCACGTCACATTTCTCCAGAGACTGCAAGTTCAACATGCCTGCTCGGATATCACGTGTTACTTACACGGCTCAGTCTGTACAGAACTTGAACTTGGTTTCTAAACAATATTTTTACAGAACATAAGCAATCTGTACTGATTACTGTATTATGTCAGTTACATTTTGAGCAGCTGTTTAACTGTACAGTTGAGGCTCCTCGTTCTGCTGCTATTTCACAACGTCTCTCGGGAAAAACTTACTTCAAGTACGTATAAAAGTCGTCCCTGTGCTTAAATAATTAAGCACTACGTCATAAAGGCGTATGGGGAAGTGGAAGCGTAGATCCACGTTTTCTTAACCTCGGCACTAGCTGCAGGTGAGTCGTCAGCTTCACGCCCAGGTCGCTTTACCCCCGGTACCCATTGGACAAGAGGCTGCGTGGGCCCCAGAACCGGTCTGGACGACGTGGATCAAATACGTATGACGAGGAAATAGAATTAACATTAGGGGAGGAAGCACCTGGTTGTCCTCCATGCTTGTGTACACACACACACACACACACCGTCCCCCCTGTGCATTGTCCGCAGCTCCGCGCAAACCGTCATTTCAGTTTATAGCGTACAGATTCGTAATTTGTGGTCTTCTTCAGATATCTTTAGCATGATGAAAAGATGAGGCACGCGTATGACAGGTTGGATACATCAGAAATTCTTACAAATTAGTCGTCAGACAACTTCACGGGTTCAAGATGTCAAGTGGGTGGTTTGGCCTGAATTCATCTGGCTTAGGACCAAGCAACAGTGGCGGGTTCTTTGAACACGGTAGTGAGACTTACGGTTCGATAAAGTTGAGGAATTTATTTAGATGACAGGCTGCCCCATGGAGTTGTATCAGGTCGTAGTACTGCAGCCTACGCAACTCACGCACACAGAAACCTGAATCTCGCATTTTGAAACTTCAGCTACCCGCTGCTGCTATCGCAATTCCATGAGGAGTGACATCAGAGTTCGCAAGTCTGAACCGTGTTCACCTCCGTTACTCAGTCTGCCCGTGCCACTGGATTGCAGTTTCGGGGTCGGGCTGTTGCCATTCCTGCTTCGTATTCTGCAAACTAGGGTCGTTATCCCAGGTTGGAAAATAGGGTGGGATCCTCATCACCCCCCAGGCGAATTTCAGGATCATCTGCAAAACGGTTCTTTGAGCCACGGTTTTCCTTCGAAGATTCTGCCAAATTTGTCTATAATTAGACTATCTGCTTTTCTCTTCTTCGGATTTCGCAACAATTATGTTTTTACAGAGAAGTTCGTCACCCTTACGTCCAACCCCCAACCTGAAGGGCCAGGTCTCTGTATTTATGTGACGCCCAGTTATACCCCTTGGCACCGGCTTCAATTTTCATCATCGCCTTCTACGACACGCAAGGCTACGGTGGAGATATTCCAACCCTCCTCCATACGGAATGTCGGGATAAAACCTGGATTACAACTCAACTTCTTCCTTCCACATCCTTTCCAATTCAGTGTTCACTGATCGTACTAAAATATAATAAGCACTCTGAATCCATTTCATAAAATGTACAGAGGCATTTGCGCCTTGAATATATTAAACTTGCTGACAATTACTGTCGTCCAATTATTTCTGATTCAGTTATACGTTGAGCCCCGTAACAGTATGTTCGAGCTAGCTGCAATACCATGCCAAATGCTCCCGTACCATAACAAAGCCGAGTCCGCTGTGTTACAGACTCACTCAGACCCAAAGGAAACTAAGTAATTTTATGGCCACTTTCATTGCTTCACTAGAAAAGCTAACATGCAACTACTGCATATGAGCGAGCGGCCCAAGACACTCACCGAGGGAGAAGCACACTCCGCCAGACACTCTATCGTTCGAGAGCTGAGTGACAGCGAGGAGGATGTCGCCCAGGAGGAGACAGGACACGTGGCCTGTCTGGCACTTCCAGTGCAGCATGTGGTGGGAACTGGGGCGCAGACAGCCGGCAGCAAGGGTGGCGGCTAGGAAGAACGCAGACAGGAACAGCCCGATGGGGTACAGGGTGAACCGCAAGTCCCAGTCTCTTTCTTTTCTCTGTACCTCCGATGGAAGTTTCTCGGAACACGTGAAGATGCTCGGCTTATCCACGGGATGTTCCAGCAAATGTTCGATGCAGAACTCCCCTGGCAGCAACGTAATGTCTAGTGGCCTCACGTGCAAGGCCCCGTTACTCTTCAAGGACGACTCTCCCTCGTCTAGCTTCCCCGCTACTACTAACTCGTGGCCGCTGCATACTGGGAACCCCGCAGTGAGAGCCATCGTCACGTTGTTAAAACGTATCGTCGAGAAATTGTCTGCTGTTGTCAGGTTAGAGTACACGACGCACGCCGCCTTTACGTCACTATACGATGCGCTGTCGCCACAACATTTCTTCACACGAGATTTCGTTTGTGTTCTCTCAGGAGGAAGACTTTGGCCTCCGGTAGGCTCAGCATCAACACAGTTATCATCTACACAAACAAGAGAGACTCCTGAATCAACACAGAAGCTCCCAGGGTCTAAGAACTTTGAGAATTCCGTAAGCAAAAGTGACCCATTGTCGAACAGCAGAAACATTGGGTTCTGGAAATGTGACCGTATTTTAGTCACACCACAGTTACTGTGACATTTCGGTTTCGACGCTTCTTCAATACGCCAATGCGGCGGCAATGCGCCGGGTTCTAAGAACGCTTGGCGTGCGGGCGAATAGATAATTGGCGTCCACGAAGGATCGCCTGTCCCTGCCACTTTACACTCATCGTAATCGCTGTAAACCTCACCGTGAGGACAACACTTGAACAATGTAACTCCTGTACTGCCGCTGATCCTACCGTCACAACCACTTCCAAGAATCAGCAACAACACGAACACCGAGGGCCGCTGACGCATCGTGTGCAGTTACATTACATGGCGGGCACTGAAGCACGACTTGACTGAACCCACCACGCACGTCCGCTCCGGTGCACGCTGGTAGCCTGACTGGAGTTGAGTTGAGTTTACCGAAGATTTCTAATTTCCGTCCCCTCCCTCTGCACCATCCCACCACCACTCGCCGTCTATCCTCCCTTCGCAGCGTTGCCAGCAGATCTTCACCCTCTTTCCACCGTCTTTGTACAATCATCCCTTCAAAAACCGGAGACAGGGGCTATATGATTACGTATACTATATTAGACTGGTCTCTTCTGTGTTTTTCTGTCTTGACGAAACGAAGACAAAGAGGGCTGCAAGTAAAATCAAATAGTTTCTCATGTCTGTTTCTATAATTCCAGACTATTCTTTGTTCTTGTGGGAATTTCATCCTATTAGGCTCCATCTTTGTACCCTCTTACGAATACAAAACACCTTTGTGTAACGGTTGGTTGGCTGGTGAAACAGGTGTGGTCTATATTAAAGTATTATCTGATAATCTTATTTATTTACGATTTTCAATAGCTCAGGCCGTGTAGCGCCGTATGATAGGATGATTAATGAGTAATGAATTGGAAAGTATGTGTAAGGAAGTGGTCGTGACCTAATTTTAGTTACTATCTCAACATTTGTTTGGAGGGATGAGGAAAATCACGAAATATCTCAGGAGATCCGATCTCCGGGCCAGCTGGCGTCAGCTGGGGCTATCAGAAAAAGGTGGCGTGAGAAGAATATGGATAAAAGCGGCCGTGTCCAATTTTACAGTAACTCACCCTGCCTGAATGAGTAAGGAAAAGAAGAAAACGTTCTCAGGATAGCCACTCTCCGGCCCGAGAATCCAACCTGCGGCCGCAAGAATAGGAAACATGGAGCTTAGAAATACTTAACACGGGCGAACTGCGGACGGCCGGTTCGAAATACCTGGCCCATTATTTACATGGTTACCGCTGGCTGTACATCGGGGTTTGCTGCGCATGAACGCCATTCGTGTAAAAAATACCTCTGACGTGAATGAATTTCAATCTGCATGTGAAACTTGAAATCAGTGACAACAAAAAGTACTTATTTCAATGTGAACGCGTTTCGAGTTGTCAGGGAGGCAAACAGAAAGAAAAGCATAGTTTTATATATATATACACACACACACAGAAGGGGGTAGGGGGAGCCTGTACAGTGAATAGGCTGCTGCAGGCTGGATGAGCGCGGAATGGGCGTTCCATTGCAAGCACGGACACTTTGTTTCTTCTCACCAGGGCCCGGATTTTGATGACATGTCATTTTTTTTCTTTATGTAGTAAACGTTGCTTTTAAGTACTAAAGCCCCGATTATGAACCTCTGGTTATAAAAATGTGAATTTTATTGTGCATTTTTGTCATATTTTGTATGTTTTAAGCTTTAGGTCATTTTTACAAGTTTTTACGTAATTTTTCGTCATTTTTTCACGTTTTACGTCAATTTTGGTTATCTTTCACGTTTTTTAATAATAATAATAATAATTTAATAATTCATTGATCAAACTGAAGATATTTGATTCGTGAGGTAGAAATCTATGTTCTTCAAGTAAATTTTGTTTTGTATCTCTAGCCTCTGTCGCTAAATATAATAGATTTGTTTGTAGAGGGCACATTATTTTTCTTTCTAAGCCGCCAGAGATGCCGCTACTGTCCCGCGCCGCTTTCTAAGCCACCGCTATGTCATAAACTCATAAAATTGATGCCTCAAAAATGCAGAGGGGTAGGTTTAATGAGATGTCCGGGTGTTATAAAATCAAGAAATAGGAAACTAAACGAAATGTTGTGATATTCTCATTGTTGTTATAATGAGACACTATATGTAGGAAGATACAATATTCTAAGTCGCACGTCTTTCTAAAGGCTGTCGCCCCACAGGTGCAGAAGAAGGTCAATTAGTTCAAACGAAATCTCGGTATCATAAAAACATAAATTTTAAAATGCAAGGAGACTTATTTCATCTACTGGGCAGCAAGAGACTAATTTTCTTTAAAACTGTATAATTTTTTCAATAAATTTATATTAATTAATATAAAGTAATTAATCATTTCTTTCTGACTAAGTTCCATAAAAATGTAAGGATCCTAATTTACACAGTCCGCATCTACCTGATTTTAAGAAAATTTAGAAATTAGTTTTTAGGTCATTTTTTTAAATTTTAGGTCATTTTTTAAATATTTTTTGGTCATTTTATAGATCATTTTTCAGATATTTTTAGGTCATCAAAATCCGGGCCCTGCTTCTCACCATAGCGTCCAGATCAGTTCTGCAGCCGACCCAGCCTCCTATGCAAACGGTACCAGGCCAAGTGACCGAGGTGTCTTACCTTCCTCTAATTCCCAGCTTAATAATCCGTGGAGCCATACCTCTATTCCACAATTTTTCTGTGGTTTGGTACTTAATTAAGCATAGAGACAACGTAACCTTTTTACAGAACCTGAGTTTTCAAATGACTCGCGTTTAGGATACTGCTGGATCTCTGAGTCAGAGCGCATTTCGCAATGATGACCGCACGCCAAGTGTACGTGACATCGGTGGGCTTGTGTTCCCAGCGTTTCTGGCTCGCGTAAGCCTACCGGAATTTCCTTCGCGGGTTTATGACTTCTTCAGTCGCTTCAGGGAAATACAGACAGCGCTTCGACAGGAGCTGGTAGGTCGTAATTGTGGCAGCATTCGACCCTAGGCAAATTACGTGCTCAAAGACAGCTTGTTAATCGTATCTCAGACAAGTTAAACAAAACCTTGCTACATGCCATTGCAGCGATTTCCTAACGAAGGGGTGGTGAACACATTCGTCGACTGTAACGGTGATGCCAGTAGACTTACAAGTGCGATTCCTTCCTCAAGTTTCGGACATGCAGTGTTGTTTCCTATCTCGTCCGGAGGACGGAACACGTTCGGCTGGCCGTGTATGCTCACAAATTAGTAAGCGATTATCATCTATCTACAGCTCTTGTGAACCTTGACCGCTTTTTCAGTTTTTTAATCCATACACAGTTGGTAGGACTCCTTGGACGGGGGATCAGCCCATAGCAAGGCAAAGAAATACCAGGAGCACTTGGTGTTGCAAAGCGGTCACTCATCCACGTACTTACCGCGCCCAATGTGTTTCGACTAGAACCGGGGTTTTCAACATGGTACGGCCGGTGGTACATTGCGCCCGTAAATGATATAGAAGCTTTTTTCTTTTGTTTTTAAGAATTGCACTTTGTGGTTGGTAATAAACGTCGCTTAATCTGTGTCGCTGTCCACAAGCAACTCAGGTATTCCAACTACGCAAAGAATTCGCGATTAAACAAAGCGTGTTGTTATTATGTGACACTGAGACAGAGAACAGTACAATACAGACATGACGGACTGACGTCACCAGAGCCCCGCGATGCAGTTCCTAGCTGCCCACGTCACAGAAAACTGCCGTTGGACCTTATCCTGGCCCACGTTCCAGCACCCCGTCTCTAGAATCTGCTTGAGCAGCATCTCTCACCACAAAGCATTCCCGCAATCTCGTGTGCCCCTCAACCACACCGAGTGATGCGCCTGGATGTACCGTCATAAACTGGATCTATTTCTTTTGTATTCGCGAAGGCCCGTAGGGTTGTGAGACGTCGAGGCTCCCACATTTTCAAGAAACTCGGCTTACAGATGTCGGTAAGGTTGTGAGACTTACCTGCCGGCCGCCATTTACCCCCCAGGAAGGTTCCTGGTACTCGTTTCTGTTAGAAGCTGGGTCGATCCCAGGGCCATAAATGCGGCTGGAAGGATTACGTAAATTGAAAAAAAAAAAGTGACGTCATCGGGAATAGAAAACGCGACATTCCGGCTTGTAACATACTGCCTCAACCAACTTCGCTACCGCGTGCCACCTCATAGCACATACTAAGTAGAAAATCGCCAAATCTTTCTCGTAAAGCGGGATTCTTGTTGGCATTAACTTCTGCAATTCTCTTTGCACGCCAGATTTGGAATCGAAGTTGCCGTTTTAAGAGCACTGCAGTGACAAGTCTAACTGGCCGGTAAAATTCGTTCAAAACTAATTAAAAATTGGTCTTCTGGAAGTATAAACCAGTGCACTTCTGGTGTAAATACAAGTGTAATGAAATGTACTCTGGAGCGCGCACTGCATAAGACTCCTACGTCCCGTAGAGCACTGAAACGTGTGGTGCTCACAGAATGAACTGGGAACTGCTCTCTATAAATAAATGCAGGTAAATGTTAAGTTGTCCCTGAACTTAAAATTAAACAGTATGGCATGAACATATGCTAGCACCATTCCAAACTAAGATGCAGTGCCAAAGCTGGTTCTGTACTTGGTTAATTAGATAGTTTGTTAGCTTCTACTAGGGCCGCGCCACAGCTCAAGCAGTTAGTCGCTGGCTTCCCACCGCGTCGGGCCGATTCGAGCCCGGGTCTGGTCATGTGGGATTTGTGGCGGACAAAGTGGCGCTGGAGCAGGTTTTCTCCGAGTACTTCGGTTTCCCCTGCCAATCTTCATTCCACCCATCACCATCATCTGGGGCTGGTACAAGAATTTTCACTTCTCCATGTCGTTCAGACCGGCACTGGGACCCACCCAGCCTCCCATCCAGTGGGTACCGGGGGCTATTTCCCCGGAGGTAAGGCGGCCGGGGCGTCAAGCTGACCACTCACCTCCAACTAGTGCCGAGGTCAAGAGAACGTGGATCAATACATCCACTCCCCCACACGTCTTCATGACGTAGTGCTTAATTAGTTAGGCACAGGGACAACTTCATATAGCTACGACCGTCTCTTGCCAATCACAGTGGCCGCGCGGTCTAAGGCGTGAAACACTTTCAGATATTCACGAGGTATCGGCGAGTTATCACTTTCACCCTCCGGCTAAGTTTATCCCGAGCACAGTAAGATAAGAAGGCTGAAGACTTTGCTGCATCTCGAACAAGAATTTCACGACGCTTTTCAACTGCTTAGTCTGCGTAGCTTCAGATGGATATAAATGTGTGGGTGGGAAGCGTCTCACGCTGCTTCATAGCATTTATGTGAAGAGCGTGGGGGGTTATGTAACGGCGC